CAAGTTATTTGTATTGCAAATAAACTAAGTTGTTAGATTGATTATAATTTTTTTTTTTTTTTACGAATTTGTTTGTAAAATATTTCACATGAAAAACCTATTATGCAAAAAATTTACAATAAAATGTTTAATTTGAGAATTTAATTGAGAATTGTTGTGCAAATTAAAGGACCAGTTTGATATTTTCCCATATATAAATATTAGTGGTTGCAATAGTCAGCATCAATATGCCTGTTTTTTTAAGGCAAAAATATATCCCTATTTATTGAGGGTGACTTTAATTTGTAATTTTAGTAAATAATTTTTTTCTCTTTCTTAATTATCACAGTCTCTCTCTCTCTCTCTCTCTCTCTCTCTCTCTCTCTCTCTCTCTCTCTCTCTCTCTCTCGTATCCATTGAGAATGGAAAATAAGTTCGAGCGAAATGAATTTGAAGGACGGAGCTCAGGAAAAGCTTTTCCTTTTCAAAATGCAGAGAAAAGGACTGAAAAGTTTTGAAATACAAAGGAAAAGTGCTCAAGAAATGCAATAAAATATCTCTTTCGCACTTGACTTTGCAAGTTATGTTAGCTAGAGCATCCAGTATTATCTTGAGTGTCTTTTACTTCATTAGCACCAATAAAAACCTTGGTAAAGGATTATGGTTATGCCTTCAAATCAATTTTTCCTATATGTTTCAATCAACCCATTCATTTTTACAACTGGGAAAAATTGATTTGAAGGCATAACCATAATCGATCGATCCTTTACCAAGGTTTTCATTGAGTATCTTGGGAAGACTTGAAGGCATAACCATAATCCTTTGCCAAGGTTTTTATTCGTGCTAATGAAGTAAAAGACACTCAAGATAATACTGGATTCTCCAGTTAACATAACTTGCAAATATAAAAAAGCTGAGTCAAGCGAAAGAGATATTTTATTGCTTTTCTTGAACACTTTGCTTATACAAGAAAGTTCATTTCTTTAAAATTGTGTCAGTGTGAGAGGAGTGCATATCTTTATGTGATAGAAAATATTGTTTTAATTTAAAGAAATTGATTTGATAGCGAAGGAGGTGTGTTCATTTCTTTAGTTTATTGATTTTGAACTTTAGAATCAGTTTTTAGATAAAATTATTTTAAAAAAAAATACTAATTCAATATGAAGATGTGTTTTCAAAATTATTTGAAAAGTAAATTTATTCTAAAATCTAAAAACGCATCGTATATATTATATAATCGTTAGTTTATGTGAAAAAAAATTACTTTAGAAGATATATAGTTAATTTTTAATATAAAAATAAGAATAAAAGCTAACTTGATGTGAATTGTTATAATAAATTGAACGGATCAAATTTAAACAATAAGAATGGTACATATTTATTTTAAAATCTAAAAACATATTGTATATATATTATATAATCGTCGGTTTATGTGAAAAAAATAATAATTGATTTTTAGAATAAATATTTAATGTGAAAACTAACTAAAAATACTAAAGTTAAATCATAATGTACTTTTGATATTAACTAGTTTCTCTGCGTGTGCTTTGTATGTGTATTATTTAACTAATTTTAGTGTTTTTTTTTTTAATTTTTAATTGATTTTTTAAATTATTTTTAAATAAATGAATTTGAATGTTTATTATTAAACTTTTTTTTTTTAAATAAAACCTGATTCTCTTTCCGTTTAGAAAGATGAGGGACATTTAAAACACTCTTAAAATACGATTTCTCAGATCTAAAAAACTCAAATGCCTAATTCTTACTAATATGGTTATACCATTTAGATTTTTTTGTATAAAAAATTTTCTTTTGAATTTTTTTAAATAAAAGTACTTTTGAGTGTTCATTTAATATAAAAATGTTTCGGTTGTAAACTTTAGAATGAACTCTGTGAAATTAGATAGTAATTATCTTTTATAAATTATTAGAAGAATTTGATTCGCCATTTTATATACAAAATTAGGAAGAAAAAAATTATCTCCTACCACAGTTATTATTTGTTTATTTTAAAATTGATGATATGATAATGCCATTATAAAATCTTTTCATGAAAAAAAAAAGACTAAATAAAATCTTTGCCTAAAAAAAAAAAAATTACTTTGCACGATCGTTTGGTGAAGAGTTCAAAACTACTAGATTGGTCATTTAATAGTTTCACAACAAATCATGTGCAAAATTATTATTAAAAACTAAATGTGAACAATCCTTTCCAGACTTGGTACATGATCACTCAAGTATTTATGATCCCTCTCGTGATTTATTTGATACTACCTTGGAAACCAAACCCACCATCAACCACCAAATTCTGGCCAGTCACAAACTCAGAATTCTCAGAAGCAAGAAACAATACAGCATCAGCTATGTGCTTCGCTTTCAACACCCCTTTCACCCAATAAGTCAACTCAAAAAGCTTCTCTGCCTCCTCTACTCCCATGTCCAATTTCTTGCACACCATAGGTGTTACCACCGGCCCTGGCGACACACAATTCACGCGTATCCCATGTTCACCCAACTGATAACTTGCACATTTCATCAGAGCTAGCACCCCACATTTGGACATGATATAATCTGTAGAAATGTTCCCTACAAGACTCGCAGCAGCGCTTGCTGTGCAAATGATGCTTCCCTTTATTTCTCCTTCCACCATGGCTCGCGCCGCGTGCTTTAGGCATGCTGCAATACCACGAACGTTTATTGCGAAGAGTTTGTCGTATGAGTCCAGGTCGAAGTCCAGAACAGTTTGCTTACGAATGCTTACAATGCCTGCGTTGCAGAAAATGATGTCAAGCTGACCGTGAAGTTAAACAGTGGATTCCACAAGAGATTTGACTTGGTTTTCATCGGTTACATCGCAGTGGATGTAAGTGGATCGGTCTCTTCCGATGGACTCTGCGAGCTTATGGCCTTTTTCATCTTGAATATCTGCAATCACCACTGCTCGTGCTCCATTCTCAACAAAGGCAAGCACTGTGACTTCGCCAATGCCACTGGCACCTCCAGTGACGATGGCAACCTTGTCTTGAACTTTGTTCTTGCAAGGTATGGTGGTTTCCATTTTAGATAGATTGTTTTTGGGTTTCTCTATAATATCATGAACAACACCTACAAAGTCCAAATTTATGGTAAGTGAAATATTGCTGTGGTAGGTACAAGACCCCTAGCCGATATCGGAACTTGAATAATTTTCTCTGCCTGTAGATTTTTGTCTCATTCTTGTGCTCCATTCATACACGTTATTCCCAAGTTATTACAAAAAATAAATAAATAAAAGAGCTAGACCTCTATTGTTGGTTCATTGCACATCTAGATTCTTTATTATGTTCTTTCTGTTTTGATTTTTTAGTTTACTAACCTTAGCAAAGATCTAGTGGATCTAGGGGTATTTGTTCTGGTTTTTGGTTCGATTTTGAAAAATATTTTGACTAGTTTTTGGTTAATCAAATTTTCAAAAAAGAAAACCAAAACTGAATTAAAATGTTATTCGATATTTTGATTAAAATCCTAAAATTATGCACATCTAGTTGTCTGATAGGCTAACCATACTAGTGTGCTAAAGCAAGGACACGTCGGATTGTTATGGTTTAACCATTAGGCTGAATGTTTTGCCATAATCAGTACTCTTTACCTAATGGTAGCCCTTAACTACTAACCTTGCCTTGTATCGTTCAATGCTGTTATCTACGTGTTTCTTCGTCTTAAAGACTCATTTGTTGCCAACAACATTCATAGTCCGTGTGAGAGGGACTAGAGATCAAGTAGCAGTTGTAAGAGGGCGTTGATCTCCTTGGTCATGGTAGAACGCCATTCTGTAAAATGTTTTGCTTTGGTGAAATAGGCTGGATTCTCTGGAACTGGCGTGTGAGAGACTGCCAAAGTTGCTTTTGGTGGATGTAAAGGCCCTATGGAATGAAGTGTCATGGTGCATGTAGGTTGAGGAGCAGGAGATGGCTGTTGGGGAGTAGCTGAGGTGTGTGTGTGTGTGTGCAAGTCATAGACACTGAGATCCAGCAATAAATTGAGACCTGGGGAAGAAGATAGACACTTTATGGGGAAGAGATGTGGTTATGGTGACCTGGGTTAGAGTATTTGTGGACGATGGGTGAGTGGTTTGGCTGTGAAGACCGAGATGCAGGGGCGACAGATTCACAGGTTTCTAGCTAGCGATTTAGAATAGATTTTTTTTTTAAAGTAATTTTAACACAAGTCTTTAATTGAAAAATCAAAATCGTTTAAGAGTAAAATTGTCATGGAATATAATTTGAATGCAAAAGTTATATTACTCGAATACTGTTGTTTGCCCTTAAAACCAAATTTGACACAGCTCTTCCCCTTCCACCAGACTCGGAACTTGATCATTCAACTATCTGCGATCACTTGATTACAATACCTTGAAAATTATACGTACCATCTACCATCAAATTATGGCCAGTCACAAACTCAGAATCCTCAAAAATTAGAACCAGCACAGCACGCATCAGCTACATGCTTCGTATTCAACACCCCTTTCAAGCAATAATTCGACTCAATAATCTTCACCACCTCGTCCACTCCCATGTCGAGTGTCTTAAATGCCAGATGTGTTGCCACCGGCCCTGGCGACGCACAATTCACAGGAATGCCATGCTCCTCCAACAGCTAACTTGAACATTTCATCAACGCCAGCACTCCACTCTTGGACATGCTAAGATAACATGTTCCTTCATGATTTAAATCAAGAAATATGAGAAGATTCTAATCCAAAAAATTTATATACATGGAGGCATTTTTTCGTGATATTTTATAATGTTTGATAAATAGTGATATAAAAATAGTGATGATGAAATGAGATATAATGATAACGGTGACGGTGGTTTCGATAATAAAGTAATAATAGTGGCCATGAGGTAAGAAATTTTATAATAATCAAGTAGTAATCGGTGAACATGTAAATTAATTACTTCATAAGCACACTTTACAACAAAAAAAAAAAAAAAAAGTTAAACACGTTAAAAAAATCACATAAAAAGAGGAAGAGGGAAATGGACTTGGGATCCGAAGAGCTTGATCCTCCTTTACCTCTCACTGTTACTTCCCGGGTAATTTTCAAATTTCAGTTTTTTTTATCTTTTCTTTTTTTTTTTCCTTTTTTTGAGGGTAAATTGAAATTTCTGTTTTTTTTTTTTTCCTGTTGTTTTGAGAGAGGAAGCGGTAGTATGTGGTGGAATAATGGCGTTGGAAATAAATTTTTTGAGGGTAAATTGAAGTTTTTCCTTTTCTTTTTCCAGTTAATTCGAGAGAGGAAATTTTAGAATGTGATAATATGAAGGAATGGGAAATGATTGTTGTGTAGGATACATTGAATTTTTTTTTTTTTTTCCTGTTACTTCAAGCGTGGAAATGTTAAGACTGGTAATTTACCCGTTTAGTAATTTGGATTTTGATTTCAGGTATTGTGTATGTTGGGAGATGTAACAGCGGGTCCAGCATATCGGTTTGCACAATGGCTGGAGTTGGTTCGTAAGAGAAGTGGCAAGTATCGTGCCTCAGGGCTACAGGCTCGTAACTATGCACTCTAGCCTCTAGGTCTCCTATTTCCCTCTCTCTATGTAATCATTTATGTCAACCATCAACGTATTATGTTGATTTCTCCTATTTCCCTCTCTCTATCTAATCATTTATGCCAACCATCAACTTAATAAGTTGATTGGTTCAGACAAACTAAATGCCGATGCTTTGTTGTTAATTTTACTTGCGAGATAGATAGTTGATGAGATTATAAGGGGAACCTTTGAATTTGATTTGCGATAACTTGGGATATAAGAACTGATAATTTTGAGTCCTGGAATTTAACGTAAGACAAACAACCTAGGCATTCGACCCGAATAGGGACTTTTCTTAATTTAAGTTATATATGTGTATGTGTGTGTGTGTAATTCAAGTGTTGCTACAAGTAAACTATTTTGTTTGTCTACAGATGTTTAAAATTTTATGATCAGTGGGAAAGTTATGAATGATAGGAATGCATCACCAGCTGAGAAATAAAGTGAAACTCTTCTCCTAATTGCGTTTCTTATTTTCAATCACGTCAAGAAGTGCCAATTATAACTATTGGCAGGAAGCCCTCGATAAACCACCTGCCTCTTGCAGTATAGAAAGTGAATGATTTCGTTCAATGATCAAACAGATGAAATTGCAAATACTACAAGCTTGTTTTTTTGTTTTTGTTTGTTAGAGCATGATCCACATGCTCTCTCACTCTCTTCCGAGTGACGTTTCCTTTTACCCAGTTGCTGTCATGAACTCATGATTGCCACGCAGTGAGGGAGAACATCTAGTTGATTCAAAAAGTCCACCTCCTGAGCAAGCTCCAGGTATCAGTTTGTGGGAAAGGCTTGGTAAAGCTGCTACATTGGCCATTGAGTCAAGCTCTGTTTCTTGGCACATGCTTTCTTCCCTCCACCAAACTGAGCATAGTGGTACACTGAAAATTCCGAGGATGAAATGAGTAAAGCCCTTGAAGTATGTGATCCAATTAATACTAGTATAATTAAACAGCATCTGCTTTCTAATTTATATTTTTTAAGTTAAAGAACAAAGCCTTTGGAATTTTCAGACATTATTCTTAAATTGCTGTCATCTTGATTCTCAGTTTTCAACCAAACTGGCTAATCTAGCTTCTAAATTAAGGCTTGTTTTGGATTTGTTCAACCGAGTTTGACTTATTCAATAGCTTGGACAAGTTCTCAGGTTATTGACAAGCTAGGACTTCTGAGTAAGACAATGTTGAACTGCTATATTTTCCATTATAGTGGCACTATAGGGCTATAATTAAAAGAATATTGAGTTATTCGTGTCTGAAGAAGAAATTAGAAGAAACCAGTGCATCACAGTTTCTATCTCATCGGCTGTCTCAAATTCTCTTCAGCTGTGTGCATGTAGGTAACAGTAAATTCTGGGGGAGTTGTGTTCTTTGCCTTATTCAACCAACCTGGGAATGTTGACGCTTTTCGTAAGGAAGCAGCAGCTGTCATAAAGTTTTCATCTTCAAGGATGGCCACACAATCAGAACGTCTTGGCTATGAATTTGCCAAGTGGTTAGGAGTCCAAACTCCTCAGGTTATAATGTTATAACCCAGTAGTTAGTGATTTTTCTAAGATCGACCAGCACTGAAGTCTTTTCTTAAAAAAAATTGTCTAATGATGGAAAATATTTCTGCTGGAATGTTTCAGGCTAGAGTCATTCATAATTGAAGCCCGGAGTGGCTCCAGATAAAGGAAGCTGGAGAGAAAGCAAGAGTTACAGGCTTACAGCAGCTTCAGAAGGAGATGAAGAAGGTGAAGTAACATGTTCTGAGCTTTTGGAAGCTCTTGAACTTAGCCGATGCCTTCTTCTGATGAGGTGAAACTAGAACCTGATTTGTGCATTACATATTATAAAGTGATATCATAAAATTTTTTAGCTTCCTTCTCGTGATGTCTCCTTACCCAATAGACTGATTGGGGAAGGGTTGGGAAAAGAGATCTATGTTCTTTATAATCTAATATCATGTGCTTGTGTGTAATGAAATTCACAGGTTTAGAATGTTAAGGTGGCTACGCTGACCTGAGAAACTTGGGAATGCCATAACTAAAAATTTGAGCTAGTAAAGAGTATTACTTGATATCATTGTATGCTGCTTCGTCTTTCCCAAGATTCTCAATCAATTCCCTGATCCCCACTCCTTGTACTCTATATTACAGTGAGTAGGATGCATGGTTTTCCATGTCGCAAGCATTGCAAAGGAAATTGCCATTTGCATTAGCATTTCAACTTTCAAAGGCCAAAATACTCTGTTTTTGCTGTTATGTTCATGGATCTCCTTTATTGGAGAGCCCAAATGCATTTGAGCCACGTGAAACTGCAGAAAGAATTGCAGCAGCACTTGGTATGGTCTTTCTGTTGGACGTTATCATCAGAAACGAAGACAAGACTCCCTTGCCGTGAGCTCGAATGGCGTGGAAATCCATCAAATCTATTGTAGGCTGATAAAATGACCTCGTCAAATGTTAATGCCTTGGAGGATGGCTTCGACTCTGCAATTAACTGATACCGACCAAGGGTGATTAAAGCTCTACAGAAAGAAAGAAGGGCAACTTCAGTGGATTGCAGGTTTAATTCTCATAATCAAGGAGGACCAGGACTGGTATTACAGAGCTCGGATGTTTCTCAGATTACAGAAGCTCTAAAATCTAACAAAATGCTAAGAGTCCAAAATCAGGAGAATCATCATTTTCTGATCTCTTCATTTCTCATGCCGTGGCTACTGATTCTGGTGTTCCTCGTCGACCTCCTGCTGGAAAACAGACAAATGACCAGGAAAATTATCCTCAATTGATCGATTTTCTTCTCAACAGTTCTGATTACTCCTCTGATTTGTTATGCGAAATAACAGGAGGAAAATTAGCTCCTCCATTGGAAGGCACTGACTTTACTGAGTAACAGAAATGACTTCAGTTGTTCACGAGTTTCGTACTGCTCTGAGGGATCTGCAAGGTTTCCATATATTCCTTCTCACTCTTCACGAGAAACTAGATAGCTTGCTACGAGTTTTTTTAAACATCTCAAATAAAACAACATCAGGTGACTCTGACAGATATGATTCGGTGGTCCCTGCGTCACCTTCACTTGCGGTTGTTCTTTGTCCTTCTCCACCAAGTAAGGAACGCTTTCTTAATGATAACCTTCCAGAGTTTACCGATTCAGATTCACAGAAAATGGCTCAAACTCCGAGGTCATCTTCAGGAAGTAAACTCAGATTCTAATTCACCCATGTCAAGAGGAAGCTGGCATGGAAAGTTTTCCAAGGGGAGTGGAGAGCCCCTTCGTTGCGTGCGTCTGACAACAAAGCTCCGAGACATTGATAAATTTTCCTAGATTAGTATCCCAGTTAACATGGATTTGAAAATCACATGCTTACTAGACATATATCACTGGTTATGGTGCTTAGAGATGACTGCTCGGAATCCAACTGGTGATGAAGCAAAATCTTGGCTCCAAAAATGTCCTTTTTTTTTTTTTCCCAATTCTATACTTGATTGTCCTAACATAATTTCATTACTGAAAAAAGGGACTGGCTAAGTTCTCATTTTCCTTGCTAATCAGTAGCTAGCTCTTGCGACCACTTTGTGTGACATGCTGCATATGTAGCACAGAGTGGCATAGCGACACCGGTGTAGAAACATGATTTAGGAATGCTAGAGGCAAAAAGTCCAAAAATTTTGAACCATCAATTGCATGAGAAGTGATTTGCTCATGCTCTACCGAGTTTTTTCGTCTATATAGTTTTAAGAAGAAATAATTATTGCATTGATGCATCGTACTTCTAATAATCTGCTGCAAAATTACCCCCTTTAAGGCAAGGAGGAAAAAACCTAAAAAGCGCATGTATTAAGGATCAAAAGAGAATAGATATCAATATTTTGACTTCTTAATTTCCATGTTGATCAATAGCAAGCATCACCCCGTTCTTTTAAGTATAATTAAACTTCATGAACTCTGAAACTCAACTGCAAGAGAAGGTCATGTGGCAATGGGAACTGTTTAATTGCTTGATCATTCAGAGTTAATCTTTAATTATCTTAGTTTCTAGAAACTTTATTTGTGAGAAATGTAGATAAATATGCCATGCCCCTGTGCTAATGAGCAAGCAAATAAACAGACGTTTTATAACAGTGAAAAAATGTAGTAATGCTATGTGTAAGGGGAAGCAAAAAACGAAGTTATTTTTCATTGATCTAACATCTTATGCTTTTTTTACATGCATCCCTATTTGCTCAGGTCGATACTGAATCAAATAAAGAACTTGAACAATGGAAAGAAATGCTGAGAACTGATGCTATCGAACTCTGTCAGAAAAACAATTTCAATACAGGGTTTTTTTAGAGCAGTGATACTTAACTGTGTCGTGGATGCATATGAGTTGAAGGTAAGATCCATGCAATGTTAGAGTTGCATGTCTAAGATGAAGTGAATTTTTTTGTTGATCTTTTACTACTATAGAAGATTGTTCCACAGAACAATTTATTTTCTTCATTTTAGGATTTTTTTCCATTTTATTCATTTTAACTTGCAGGTAAGATTAGAGCACGTTCTTGAGAGGATATCATTGATCTCTGAAGCTGCAAACACAGAGAAACCATCATCAATCACAAATAGACTGTTTATTGGTAGCACCTTGGCTGCAAGATCTGTGTACACTTAGCAACATCTAGGAACTACACGTATTTTGTGTTTGTGTGCCAATGAAATTGGACAGTCTGAGTCGCAACACTCAGATCTATATCAGCACAAAAAATTTTCTGTAAGTGAGATTTTCTCTCCATTTGCAATAGTTCATACTTCTGGGGACAATGCTCTGCTTTGTTTCATACCTATGACTAAAGCTGGATCAATGTCTTAAGGTTCCTCTACAATTTATTGAAATAGTAGTAGTAGTCGTAGTCGTGGTCTCGTAACTTCCTTAGTTTGCAACTATACAATGGATAGAGCTTTCATGTGTGCTCCTCTCTAGAAAAATTGTTAGTTTTTAGAAAACCAACTGTTTTGCTCCATAGTATGTTTTTTCTGTCTTCTCGCAAAACTAGAGCGGACTATGATCATAAAGTTTAGAGATGGTCTTCTTGATGTTTCTAATAACCAAGTTTTCACATATTGATCTCTGTACAGTAAACAATCTGTAGCATTATTGATCATACAATCTTGAGCTCGCCATCTCTTTTCATTTTCCAGCATATATTTGGAACATGTCTATATTCGTAACATTACTTTCTACTTGAACAGATAAGTTATGATGAGGATTCAGACATTAGCAGCATCTTTGAAGAAGCTTCTGATTTTATTGATCAACTATCAACTATCAAAATTTACAGTATCAACCATCAAGACATTGAATTGTTGCATAAATAGAGTAATGTGTTTTAGATTTTAGATTCAAGGAGACTGAAATGGGCGTAACATGCATCATTTCCCTTTCTTTCTTTTGAGAAGGGATGACCGCAACGTGTACCGTTACACGTCCACAAAAAGGGAAAAATTGAAATAAAAGGGTTAACTTTCACTTGTCATCGTATGCTTCGTAAAAACATGATGAAAGCACTACTAAAAATCCATATCTGATGAAGCATGTTAAGGGGCACAAATCAAATTCTCGATCCCTTGCGGTAACAATTTTGAGGAGTCATAAAATTTTTCCAAGGGAAGAAAGCATGCCCACATTTTTATGTTAAAATCACAATCTCGTATTACATGAGGGTTACATAAAACCGACTGAATCATAAACTTTCATGATCAGTCCTTTCATCAAGAGAGCTAACCCAAACAAAATACTACTATTTGCCCCTAAACTATTTAATGCTATCATGGTGTAATAAATACAGCCTTGAAACCCAGCCACCAATGAAGCAACAGCTCCAAATTCTACTGCCAAGTAGTCATTTGAATAAAACAGACTACAAACAACTATTTTGCCAATTCGAATGAAAACCAGAGTTACAAACAACATACTAGCAAAGGTTGCTGAATAAGGGGTCGATCTACGCAACGTTCAACACATCTGGCAAGGCATCAGGAGCACCACCACTTTGGCCATTGAGCACAGCAACATTCCCATCAGAATCGACATCTATAATAACAGAATCACCTTCTTTGATTTCTCCTGAAAGCATTTTCTCAGCCATGCTATCCTCGAGGAGCCTCATTATAGCTCTTCGCAAAGGCCTTGCACCATAGGATGGGTTATACCCTTCTTCAACCACCCTATCCCTAAATCTCTCCGTCACTTGAAGCTCTATTTCCTTGGCCTTCAACCTCTCGAAGACCTCCTTCAACATTATATCGGCAATATCCTTGACCTCCAGCTTGGATAGTTGACGGAAAACAATCATCTCATCCAATCTATTTAAGAATTCCGGCCTAAAATACTGCTTTAACTCCTCTGTCACCAGGCTCTTAATCCGGTTGTAACTGCTGTCCTTATCATCATAATCAAGGTTAAATCCCATCTTGCGTCCTCCCTTCTCAATAACACTGCTACCAACATTTGAAGTCATTATCAGGAGGGTATTTTTGAAGTCCACAGTCCTGCCCTTGCTGTCTGTCAACCTTCCATCTTCGAGAATTTGAAGCATAATGTTGAAGACATCAGGATGGGCCTTCTCAATCTCATCATAGAGGACCACAGTGTAAGGACGACGCCGAACAGCCTCTGTCAACTGGCCACCCTCGGTGTAACCAACATAGCCAGGAGGTGAACCAATTAGCTTGGCAACAGTATGTCTTTCCATGTACTCACTCATGTCAAGTCGGATCATGGCTTCTTCGGAGCCAAAGTAGTAGGCAGCTAGTGCTTTTGCCAGTTCCGACTTCCCAACACCAGTTGGACCAGAAAAGATGAAGCTAGCAATTGGTCGATTGGGATTCTTAAGTCCAACACGAGCTCGGCGGATGGCACGACTGATTGCCTTGACAGCTTCATCCTGACCAATGACTCGCTTGTGAAGGGTGTCTTCCATCTTGAGGAGACGATCAGATTCATCTGTGGATACTTTCTCTACGGGAATGCCAGTCCAAGCAGAGACGATGTGCTGAATGTCTGATTCATTGACAATGGGACCTACATCCCCTGCCTCAGTCTCAGCTTTGCTCATCTCTTTGCCTTTCTCAACAATAGCTGCAATCTGGGCTCTGAGGTCCATTTCTCTGTCTCGCAGTTCCCCAGCCTGTTCAAGATTACCAATGATGTGAGATAGCTCAACAAAATGAGAAAAAACCAACATAAAGAATCAAAAGACAGAAGCAATGAGCTGTCTTGTAGTATTATAGACTATAGCACCTCTTTCGAAACAACTTTTCACTGTTCAATAATTAAACCACTAAAAAATTTAAAATCGTGGAACTAATAATATTTTGGGAGTTCATCAAAATGTCTCATCTCATGGAAACGAACAGGGTAGTCCTAGAAAACCCAATTAGACAATTGGAAAGCACAAGACATGCAATTTATACCTTTTCAAAGTCTTGGCCGCGGACAGCTTCATCCTTTTCCTTTGTGATTTGCCTGACCTCTTTCTCAAGCTCTCTTGCTTCCTCAGGGACCTGAAAGAATAACATTAGTGAACAAAAACCTTAAATTAATACAAAAGGAAGATGGAGTAACTAGATACAAGATCGTACCTGTGCATGACGAAGCCGGACCCGAGAACCAGCTTCATCGATCAAATCAATTGCCTTGTCTGGCAGAAAACGATCACTGAAAGTAATGCAGGAAAAAATAAATATCAAGGGAGAGAGAACTTCTCAAAGGACAGTAATTATAGAGAGGAAGAACTTTGGAATGAATAATTATACCAGAGAGACAAAGCAATAATGAAAATAAACAAGAAATCATCTTCTATAGAAAGGTGCTTCATAGAATTACAACAGAATCTCATAGGACAAATTTGGGAATTTGGGAGCATCGGTAAGAAATGAACAAGTGAAGCAAAGAGTGAAGCCTCAGAAATGGACCATGCACATTCTGGTATATTACAAAGGTACAACAGGAAGGGAAGAAAAGCAGCAGGGAAAAACTCAATACTCATGGTTCAAAAATATTAGCTCCAACAGATACTGTCTACAAGCCAGTTGAATAGCATCAACAACGATTGCAAATTGAAATGCTACTACTGGTTCTGCCACTGTGTTTATTAAATGCAAACCTACAGGGAATGATATCTCAATATTTTCACTCCTTCCATTTTTTATTCTTGGGCATTCCTTCATACGTGAGTTTCAACTAGCTTCAGAAATTGATGAAAAAACATACCAATGGACTTAAGAGACTGTAATAATTACATTACTTCTTTAAAATACACAAGCAATGACTTCTCTCCTCTATAATTAAGCATTCAAGCAAGCAATAGGTGTGGCAAATTATGCAGATACATGAAACCATAGAACAGAAATTGTGAACTACAAAAAATAGGACTATTTTATGGCTCACTTACCTGATGTACTGGTATGACAACTGAGCAGCAGCTACTAAGGCCTCATCTGTGTAACGAAGCTTGTGGTGGATCTCATATCGCTCACGAAGTCCTTTCAAAATCTGAATCGTTTCCTCTACTGATGGCTCGGGTACTTTAACTGGCTGGAAACGTCTTTCTAAAGCAGGGTCCTTCTCAACGTGCTTTCTGTATTCATCTAGGGTTGTAGCTCCAATACACTACATTGAGGAGGATGAATCAGAAAAAAAGTGAAATTAAAACTTGGAGCCAGAAATTTCATTCATAAACAACAATAACCCAAGTTGGCTACATGGATAGAGACTGGCCAGCCCCAAGCGCTGGACATGACAGTTTATTACATATAATAGTCAGGTCCAATAAAGACTCAATAATTCAAGAAAACACAGACCATGACAATTTAGAGCCAAATTCATAGCTAATAAGAAGATTCAATACAGAAAAGGCTTCAGAGTTTCCAAGCCATAGAAAAAAAGGGCCAGAAATTGAGAGAAGATATGATCAACTCAAGTTTTAAGTGTTGAAAAAATAAAAGGCTCAAGTTCCGTAGTCAACATTTAAAAAAAAAATTGAGAAGCTTAATAGTCAACATAGTAGATATAACATTCAAACAGCATGCCGAAACTGATAGTGACCTCCAGTCATATCATTTAACAATTACCCAGCCCCAATTATATCCAGCTCATCCACAAAACTGACAGTCTACAAAAAATAAGCCAGTGACCATCATGTGCCTAAGATAGGAAAAGATTACCTGCAATTCACCTCTCGCAAGAGCTGGTTTCAAGATATTAGCAGCATCAATAGCCCCTTCTGCTGCTCCTGCCCCTATCAGGGTATGCACCTCATCAATAAAGAGAATTATTTCATCACTCTGTTTGATTTCCTCCATTAGCTTCTTTAATCTTTCCTCAAACTCTCCACGGTATTTAGTTCCAGCAACAAGAAGGCCCATATCAAGGGTGATAACCTAAAAAGAAAAAAAAAATTCAGCCTTTCAAAAGTACAGTTGTCTCCAGACCAACTTAAAATTTTACATGGAACACTTTTAATAACTTCTCACAAAGATAGCATAGCAAACCAAATTTCTTGCAAATTCTGATGGTTAAGGGTAGGAACTAGAATGAGCAAACAAAAAAAAGAATCAGTTCGTTGAATCCCCCATTTACAGGCATGGTTTTCAATATTACAAAAGATTGAGCAAGCTAGTCATTCACTAATTGTGCACTGAGCATACATAATTCAGAGCAATTTTTATACCAATGGAAATAGAGCTTTTAATTTCAACAGCCATCCTGTAACTAATAAAGGAAGTGATTTCACAACATATTATTCAAACGGAAGAGCAAGAATTCAGGTCCAAAGTTAATCTTATAGCTTCACAAGGATCCACACTGTAACCATTTATACCAATAAGCAATTATCAAGTGTGCCAAAAAGATGAGACAAAAACTAAGAAGCACATCCAAATCATGCCAAGAAAATGAACCAATACGCACCTTCTTTCGCTCAATTGTCTCAGGAACATCACCAGTCGCTATTCTCTGAGCAAGACCTTCAGCAATTGCTGTTTTCCCAACTCCTGGTTCTCCAATAAGACAAGGGTTATTCTTAGTTCTTCGGCCCAGGATTTGGATGACACGTTCTATTTGTGGCTGTCTTCCAACAACAGGATCCAATTTACCCTGAAGGAGAAAAAAATCATCTTAAGACAAGCACCTAGAAGAAAAGTAGCTTCTTGTAACATATTATGCACAAAAAGAAGCCTTAGTATTAAATCACCTCCTCTGCTAGCTTAGTCAAATTAGTTCCATATTCCTCAAGTGTAGGCATCTTGTTGTTACTGCTTCCAGGTCCAACAGTGGAACCAGCCAGGTTTTCTGTGCTCTCACCCACCATACGAATGACCTAATCGCAACAATCAAAGCTTCATTGATTCTAAAATTACAAAACAAGTGCAGCAATGAACACAGAAATTAGGTTGACAAAGTTGAAAAGATGCATTGCTTGCCTGTGTTCGGATGTTACTAGGATCAGCACCTAAATTCTCAAGAACACGGGCCGCTACACCTTCACCTTCACGAAGTAACCCGAGAAGCAAGTGCTCAGATCCAATATAGTTATGACCTGAAAAGATTCATGGAGATCAGATCTGGTTAACATTGAACATTTCATTTCTCAAAGTATCACAGACACAAACACATGACAGAATCATTGCTCTGTTGAAAGGGAAAAATGCTCCATTAAAAGAACTTGAATGAGCTTGAAATACAAGGCAACTCTAGTGAATCCAGTCATTTAGCATGTTTATATATCTCATTGCATTGTACCTCTTAGGACACCGATTATGTTATGATTGCAATTACAGTTCCATGTGAAATTTGATAATAACCATAAAGTTTTCATTCCAAATTTAGAGGATATAGTTCAAAATACGCCTACACCAATAGTTAAAAAACCACAATCAGAGGCAGAAAAAGGGAAAGAAAATGAATCCTACCAAGTTGGCGGGCTTCCTCCAATGATAGTTCCAAAACACGCTTGGCACGAGGAGTGAATGGAATTTCCACAGCAACAAATCCACTGCCCCTCCCAATAATCTTCTCCACTTCTACACGTGCATCCTTAAGATTGATTCCCATAGATTTGAGAACCTTTGCAGCAATTCCAGTTCCTTCACCAATAAGACCCAACAGGATTTGTTCTGTTCCAACAAAATTATGACCAAGCCGTCTCGCTTCCTCTTGGGCAAGCATAATTACTTTGATTGCTTTTTCTGTAAAACGTTCAAACATAGCTCTAGGTCCAAATCGCTTAGCCTTTCGCTGCCCAGGAGAGATTTTAATTGCAACCTTAGAATGGAAAGACTGTCCATGGCACAATAATGTATCTAAACAGTTTGCACTTCGCAATCCTGAGTACCCATTAATTACCAAACCCCGTGATGGTAAGCTACACATCATTTTGACAGAGGAAGCTCTTGATTTTTTAGATTCTTCATATTGACGATGCCTTAGACGAGAAGCAGCAGCAGGAACATTAGCAGAATGAACTAGAAGCCTAGCCATGTGATGTCCAGGAAAGCGTCTGCATGTCACAATGGCATATGTTAGTGAAATTCTTATGGCAAACGAGCAAAGAGACCCAAAAAATAAAAACAGAAAGAAATCCTTGATATAAACTAGAGGATATTGATCCCAAAATCAATACCCATAGTCTAATGATAGGAAAAGAGGAATGTTATCACAAATTACTCCTCAAAAATCATCCAATGAAAAGAAAACCTGCTTCATTGTTTCTAGTCACATTCATCGACAAATGCAGCGTGCAACACTCAACTAAAATTTAGGCCCTACTAAGATCAACTTGAGTAATGTTTAGAAATCGACACGAGTCGAGTCCTCAGGGATAAAATATTCCCCTGTTAAAACACAACATTTCACAGAGAATAAATTACTCAAATCTAGTAGAACCGACATTACAAACAGAAAACACAAGCCACTAAACACATAATTCGAACCAGACCAGAAAAGTAAGTAAACCTTCCCCCTACCAAAATCAACCCTTTATCTATCTAAGCATAATTACTTATATTGACTCAAACAGCAGAATTATCCATAAGACAGACCGAAGCATCTCTATCTACAAAACAAAACCTACCAAATTTTCGATTTACTAGTAATAAACATAACAACCCTAACATCTAATCAATTCAACCACTGCGTTTTAAAAAAAAATAGAAAAACAATCAACTATTTACTCTATGTAATAAACCCCTAAAAAAATCCAAGTAATTAAATTGAAACAAAAATTGATTCAGCAACTTCCCCAAAACCCTAATATTTGACAGATTGAAATTTAACAAACAACAGAATCAAGCTTACCTAGATTAACTTAAAGGGATAATGATATAATGAATAAAATCAAACGGAGAGAGACCTAAAGGGGTCTATCTTTTCTCTTTTTTTCTTGTTGGGAGAAAGAAAGGAAGACAGAGGAGAAGAGAGATGTATAGACCCTCTTTGATGGTCGGCCGAGAGGTGGTGGAGGAGATAGATATATAGATGGATGTGGTTTATGATATGATACGAAGTGGACCAAAATTACGGTATTTTTCTCTCTCTTTTTTTCAATTTTTTATTTATTTTGCTCTCGTTCTTGGTACTTACATTAGATGCTGCGTCAGCGTTCGTGCACTTTCTGGTCCCCTGATTTTTATGTTTGATCCAATTGGATTCTTTATTTTAAATTGGGTTAGACAACTATTTTAAAGATCAAAATGAGCTGGCTTCTGGACTTATATCTTAAAATTCGTTTTATAAATTACTCAAATTCTAGTTCAATTAAGCTCATTTATTTTGAATCTTATCGTACGAGTTTTGAAAAAATAAAATTTTTTTAAGATCTAAAAAAGTAAGTAAATTTTATATGTCATTGATAACTTTATATTTGTTTTCTTATCTCTTATTTTTTTCATTTATTTTTCATTTCAATATTAATTTATATCACGATAAAAAATAAATATTTATAATAAATTTATTTACAATCACACTAATTAATATAAAAGATCCAAACTTAAGATATGCTCTTACAATATTTAATCAAAATGAGTTTTTAATTTTAATCTAATTACAAACATGACTCAAATTTTAGTTTTCTTTATGCTAGATAAGTCAACTATAAACACATCAAAATTCAACTTGATTCATTTTAGATAATATTTTTATTTCTAATTACCAATTATTTAAAACTATTTATAAAATTTTGTTATTAATTAAGTGACCAAATAGATATTATGTTTTATAAAATAATTAAATGTAGGATTTTAAATTTTATTCAAACTAATACATATATGTGTTTTTTGCGCACTCATCTGCTATTTTGAAGTTAATTTATTAGAAATAAAACTGTATAGCTATAGTTCATTTACATTAATATTTAATTGAATTGAAAAATATTTTGATAAATATAACCACAAGAGTTTGACAATATATATATATATATATAAAAGAAACTTCAGGAACAAAGTAGGGGTTGGTTCCATCAAATTTAGTATATATCCAAATATGCAAAGTAGAGGGACTACATATGATTTTTGCTCCGTTGGACTACTTGACCAATTAACATTACAGCTGTCTTGTGATCGTAACCTCACTGACGGCTTTTGCACCGTTCGATGTTCATGTGTTACACGTGGTTTGTTGTTGTCCGTGCTGATGAGGGTTAGAGTAGGGACTTTATAATCCTAGTAAGGGTAAAACTGGTTATGAACACCGTCTTATCTTAGATTTTTTTGTTGACAGGCCAGTTTTGCCTATCTAGGTCACAGTAGCATAGTTGCATACGGGACTTCAATTTTTTAATATAATCTTGATTTTTTTTTCTTTTTTTTTTTTTTGGAGGAGGTGGACTGTTTTTTTGGTATATTGTTTTCCTTTCCTTATAGTTTTTCCCTTTTATTATTGAATATTTTATTACGCAATAGAGAAATATTCTTTACTTTTTGATGTTTTAACATATTCTCAATATTCCTGAAGTAATGTGGTAAATTTCTTTTTGTTTTTAATAAATGAATTAATTTTTAATTAAACTATTGACTATATTAAAAATTCATTCTTTTATAAGCTCTTCTTGGTTCCTCGAGTATAGTATATACTATGTTACTGAACAATTACAAAATCAAAATTTTATTCTGTTTTTACGTAATTACATAAGGTAGTTCCTTTCAAAATTTTCTAGTTTTAAAATGAATTTGTCTATTTTTAATTATTTCATAAATGTGAAACTAATTTTAATATGGAGAGAAATCAAGATACTACCGGATCACAATATGTATGAAATAAATCATTCTCTTTTCAATAAGTAGTCTAGAGGTATCTAAATGTTTTTTAGAGGGTTGGGAAAAAAAATATTTACAGGAAAAAAAAAAAAAAGGTGTAAATTCTAGAGAGAAATTGTGATAAAGGTTTTTAAAAGGGAAACTTGTAAGGTGTAGGGCCTCACATTTTTGGAAATATCAGACTGAAAAAAATCTAGTAGAATTGGGTCGGCAACAGTTTTTGGCCTTGTTGTCAACTCTAGCACCCATCTTTGAGTTTTTCAATCCACGGTTTTTGTTTTTGTTTTTCTTTTTCCAATTTTCTGGACAATTGAATAGAAAGCTCTAGTGCCCTTTTTCTGGATAATTAAAGAAATTCGATATTCAGAGCAAAACGTGTTTCAATGGAATTTCGCCTTTTATTAATTGGAAGGTTCTTTATTTCTCAATCATTCATTTGCTTTTTGTTGGGGCATATGATTAGGTCAAAGCAAGTTCTTTTTTCGGACAGGAAATTTGTGAAGAAACTTGTTGGAGTGCTTTAAATCCAAGTAAATTTGTGGCATTTAACATGCCCAAATCAAATCTAATGTTCTTTATTTGGCTTCAATATTAGCATGATAACAGCACTGAATGCAAAAACCAACATGAATTGATCTTTTGAGTTGAATTTTTCAGTCAATCCGAGCACACGACCATTAAAGCAAAATAATAATAATAATAATAAAGAGAGGAAACTTTTTTCATAGTCTTTAATTATTTGAGACAAAAAAAAAAAAAAAAGATGCGATAGGCCCATATATCTCGAGCTGAAACTAATGGGCTCGAAGCACTGTGCAGTTCCGAAGTGTAACAAAGAGACATAAGCAAAGACCAACGGCTAGAACTGGCCTAGCCCAGATAACTGAGATGTCTTATGTTTGTACTGAGGTGAAAGAGGCCAAGGGTTCCAGGGTTAACGTTAAAAAATGCTAAATAATAATAATAATAATAATAATCTAAGGATACACATGGATTGTTGGAAGGTGATTTAGTGTTTTTTTGGATGGTGATTTTAGAGTTTTATCTAATTGTATTGTCGGAATGTTTAGCGTTATTCTTCAAGGGGGATTGGATTTTGGAGCTCGTGAATATTGTTTTATCAATCCTCAACTTCAACATTCACTTTCGATCTCCTTCACTCATACCTCATACCTAATAGTTGAGTCCCGTTTTTTATTATATAGCTTTTTGGCATGTGGTTGGCACATGTATCATTCAACTTATTTTCTTTCCTAATCTTTCACATGTTTTTTTGAATTACTTATAAATGAATAGATTAGAATGTTTATTAAATTAAAAATTTTTATTATAAAATCTGAATAACTTAGATAATGTTTGATAATTCGTAATTTTTTTGAATTTTAAAACAAATAAAATTAATTTAAACTATACTAAAATAAAAAAAATTAGATATATAAAATTGAATTATATTTCAAATTTTATTGGTTAATTTACAGTATACTAAAATAAAATTAGGTATATAAAATTGAATTATATTTCAAATTTTATTGGTTAATAGTTAAGATCCACACCATAAGAACTCTTACAATATAATAATCGCTAAAAAAAGAAATAAAAAGAATAATATTTTCATTTTTTATTATGAAAAAAATCTTGTCATTTTAAATTTAAAATTTAAGGGTTCGTTTGTTTTATAAAAAATGTAATTTTTGAGAAAAAATATTTTTCACCTGAGTTATTTTTTATTATTTTAATTTAGTTAGAAAAATATTTTTTTATTGATAGTTTTCGAGTAGCAATAATGAGATGAAAAAAGTTGTGATAGTAGTGATAGAGAGTAGGTTAGTCAATGCATTTGATCTTGAACCTAATTCGATCTAACTCTAGTATAGTTAGATGGATATGATATGTAGTTTTCATCATTCGACTCCAATTATAATGTCAATCTGTCAAACTATTTATTAAATATATCAAATATGCATCTATTGTAATCTAGTACGATAACTAGTTGGATAACCGTTATATATATAAAGTCAACAATTCTTATGATATAGTACGGATAAAAATCTTATTTTTTATAATTAATATGAATCGAATCTATTTGCTGAACAAAATCATTTGATTTATATATATATTTATTAACAAAATAATCAATCATATTAGTATAAAATATTCTATTGGAATAATTGAAAGGTTCTTCTAAAATATTATTTCAATTATTTTATTTAAAAAATATTAATTTTAGAA